AAAGTACCACATCAACGAATTTTTCGACAAACTGCCATTCAAGCTTTTCCGATATTTTCAAGTTTCCAGTTTTGCCGCATAGAGTGAGAATAAATTTGCAGGGCTGCAAAGGTGTGGAAAAAGTTGTAGGCTTAGATGGATTAATTATCTAAGGCCTGACCTCAAGAGGGGAATGTTTTCTCAAGAAGAAGAGGATTTGATCATAAGTCTGCATGGAGCTCTTGGCAACAGGTTTTTCTTTTTCTTTTTTTTTTTTAATCACCTTTTTTATTTTATTTTATTTTGTTAACTATAGCTAGTTTGAAATGACTACAAAAATTTACCACAAAAGTTTGGCTAAATTGTAAAGGTGCCCATGATTTTATAAAATTCCAATAGTATATAATACAACTTGCACCAGTACCACCACCATAAGGCATATGATTCTAGAAATAGTAGTAAATGAAGGGGGTATATATATACAGAAATAAGTTAAACCTCAGGGGCAGTATTTAAATTGTTATGAGCAGAGAATAGTTACAGTACAGCAGCCACAAAACTATGCGATTTTCAAACACAGCCCCGAATTTATTCGTTTTTTTCACACTTGCACCCTTGGAGCCTTTGACATTATTTACAAAAGCGCCCACTTTCGAAACGGTCTAAGGTGGCAAAATGCAACAACTAACATAGTTTAGGGGTAAAACCAGGAGAAAGTTTGGGACTTGGGAGTAGATTTGCAAAAAAAGGAAAAAGTTCGTGCACCATTTACAAGGTTCGTTATACTCGGTTTTGATCGTGTTCGCAACCGAAAACCACAGTCCCAAAATGTCGGTTAATTAATCTTACGACTTCGGTTACAACTTAGAAAGAGACTGTTTTTTAGCTTGTGGTTTTCACTTTTCAATTTTCATGCATTTTTTTTTTTTTTGCTGAAGTGGCCCTTTATCTCTTGGAAAATTACAGGTGGGCCCAAATTGCTACACAACTACCAGGCAGAACAGACAATGAGATCAAAAACTTTTGGAACTCAAGCCTCAAGAAGAAGCTCATCAAACAAGGCATCGACCCAAATACCCACAAGCCAATAATAACCGAAATAATCGAGACACAACCGAAAAAAATCGAACTCAACGACTCTATTATTCCATACTCATCAAATCAGACGAATCTTCAGACAAAAGGGCTTCCGAATTTAGCAACACCTACACAAATAATCGAGCAACAACAACCGTATAATTTTGGCGGGAAACAATTATACGACCCTTTATACTTAACCGATTTTCAAGCCAATATCGAACACGAATATTACCAACCGAATTTTCTCCCACAGCAGAGTCTCGAGGGCATTTTCGTCAATAACGAAAGTTTATTTGGCTGCTCGATGCCAGACTTGGCGAACTTCGGCTCGATGAATCAAAACGGGACGAGAGAAGAAGGGTCGAGCTCGAGCAATGTGTGGGGCCCGGGAAATAAGTTGGACCCGGTTTTTCGGGTTCAGTTTAGTGGGATTCAGATTGAAGAAGAAAAGAATAAGGCAATAAGTTTGTGGCAGCAAGAAGGAGAAGAAAGGGCTCATCAAAGGTTTGATCAAGAAAGTTCAGAGGGTAATTTTGGTAATCACCACAACCAATTGGCAGCATTGTCACAGGAGCTTGCAGGGGAAAATTTGGATGTGTTCAATCAAATATGANATTCTTGTTTTTGCTCATTTTGTATTTGAGTTGTGAGGATTGGGGAATAATTTTTTTATTTTTTATTTATGAGTTGTAAAAGATTGGATTTTTGTTCAGCCTTTAACCAAAAGGAAAAAGAAAGTTTCAAAAGTTTTTTTCTTATTCCACCTAAAACTTCAGAATGACATCTCTTTTACTTGGCATTCTATGCATGATGGCATCAGAAAAAAAGAAATAAATAAAGCCAAAGGTCTAACTTTGTTTCTTAACTAAAAAAAAAAAAAATGTATTTTTTCAATTACTATGTTCATGTCTTTTATTTCTTGAGATAAAGGTAAAAAAAAGTAACAATAAATACTTTACTTTCCAAGTATTGATCTTTAGCTTGGAAAATTTGTATATATCTGAAAAAACAGGGCAACCATTGTAACAACTAAAAAAAATTTATCCATGCAAATGTAGTGTTTTTAAAAATGTGTAAAGTGCCAAACACACTCCACACAAGTTTGGTGGAACACATAGATAAGTATCTTATTTGGTAATCAGCAATTTGGAACTAAATTATAGATTTGAATCAAATCAGATGTTTGACACATGATAATATCTAATTTAATTGTTCGGTGAGTAGCAGATTGACATAGTTTTTTTTTTTTATTTTTCCTATCCAAAAAACTAATTTTGAAAATGCTTAAAATATGAGCTTTTGTGATAGAGAATTGTAAAACTGATTGTTTGTGTATATCAAATATCTAATTATTTCTCAAACACTCTGCATAATCAATTATTCAAACAGTTACTTGCTATCAGCTAAATATCAAACAGAGGCATAGACAAAACATAATTGGAAGAACAATAGAAACAATCAACTAATTTTCAGGTGAGGCTTAAGCCTGCAGGCCACGACAGAATTTTCAAAACAATATCATAAGAACTATAAAATAGAAGTGCTCAAGAAAAATAAATAAATAAATAAATGAAACGTGTTATTATTAAGATTCTAATATCAATGTGCAGAAATCTAATTTCAAATCTCCAATAATTGTTTGACACTAAATTAAAGTGTCTACTTCAAGAATCATGCCATTAACATCAACCAATTTTCTCACTGTCAATTAATGATGCTAATCATATTTCATTGACCTTTTATGATATTAAAAATTGGTACAATTTCGTTTATATACGGGACTTGGCCATTAAGAACAAGTTGGACCCGAGGGAGGACTTTGTTCACATCAAATTGTGAGTGAATGCTTTTAGGACCAAAGTCTAGAGCCTTCCCATCAAATATTAATGTCTACCTCATTTGTATTCCATTTATACGTAGAACTAATTTCTATAGCTCATAAAAGGAAGCAACATGCATACTACATTAAGAAAATGGGCAATGGATACTAATATAGACATTAATTTGCATTTAAAAACCTGAAATGTAACATGCGCGACAAAATATTGTGTGTCGGTTAAAGTTTGTAAACCGCCTAATTCAAGTTTTCGAAATGGAAAATCGTAGTCGATCTTGATTTTTGAACAAAAACTTGTGTGTTCATGTTCTTGTTCAAGATCTAATCATTATTTATTTATTTATTTTTTTCACTAGTTTCTTGCTTTGTAGATGAGACGAGAGAGGGGTGAATGCTAAGTTAGAACATGGGGAGAGACGCTTAAAACAAAAGCTTTCAAAATAAGTAGGGCTGAACCGGAATATATAGTGTAATTTTAGTAGTATAAAGAGTAATAATGGGGTAAATGTTAAAATTAGAAAACACGAATAGAACACTCCAAAAGCTTACTATTTAGTATCCATTCTAGAAGATAATGACAACATAGATAAGGATGTAACGCATAGAATTCAATCGGGATGAATCAAGTGGAGGAACGCGTCGTCGATACTGTGTGATTGTAAAGTGTCAGTGCCAGTGAGTTTGGAAAGCAAATTCTATCGAATGACCATTCGATCGATCATGCTTTATGGATCCGATTGTTGGGCTATTAAATATGAAAATGATTAAAAAAATGCGAGTGACAGAGATGAGAATGTTGAGATAGATGTATGAGCATACTGGGTTAGATAAGATTAGATATGAAAAGATTAGAAATAAAGTTGAGGTAGCGCCCATAGAGATAAAAATGGGATAATCACGTTTAAGATGGTTGGGCATGCGCGTAGGAGAGACTTCGAGGCCCCAGTGAGAATGGTAGAAACATTAGAATTAAGAATACAAAATAAAAGGTTGGGGTAGACCTAAAAAAACTTAAAATGAGACAAGAAAAAATGATTTAAAATATTTAAATATAAATGAGGATGTGTTTTAATTGAGCACGATGACGATATGTGATCCATATAGTCGACCTCACTTAGTGGGTTTTTAACGACTTGATTGTTTTACTGATTTTCTTGTTTTTTTTTTATTTAAAAATTTTGTACATTACTTTTAGTTATGCATATAAATTATAAAAGTTGTCATTTGTCATTCAAATGACAACCAAATCTTAGAATGAGAATCGCTATTTTTAATTATACGTAGTGCTATGATTGATTGTATTTTAATATTATTTTTAACCAGTATTTTATTAAAAATAGTGCACCATTTATAATAATATTTGTGAAAATGACAGCACCATGTAACATTGAAAATAATATTATACACAATTAAAAATAGCATCAAATACGGTTCTCATACCATGACTAGTTTTTATTTGAACCAGTCCCTCTTAAGCTATTTATCAAAAGACAAAGAATATATATTAGGCATCACTCAAACACCTAATGAATCCAACATCTTAAAAGATTAAATAGCCCCCTTTCAAGTTTCCTCACCCGTTTCCTTTTCTGTACTCTCTTCAATTCAATTGTAACAATTGATTGTCAGACTAAAGAGCAAACAACTCGTCACAATCACTTTCCAACTCTGTATTTTACATGTTTCCTTTCTTTTTCTCTTTTTTTTTTTTTTGATTATTTGTGACGTTGCATGGGGACAAAAATAGGCTGCCCCCATTAAATCCAAGTAATTAACTCTTTTAATTGGTGCACACAACAAGAGTAGAAAACCCAACTCTAAAGTGAAAAGTAAGTCACCATAAACAGAAGTTAGGGACATGAAATGGAAGAGCCCTACAAGCCAATTATTTTTTGAGTTAAAAATGGTACACAGCTTTGGGACCACTGGTCCAGAACACTAGCTTCTCGCTTATTTAGTTAGCTTATAAGCTTCATCTATTCAAATAAGCTTTGTTTGGAACGACGAGCTTTTATTAAAAAAAAAACTCGAACTTATCTTATAAACTCCTTTGGGTAGTTTTTCAAATAAACTCATTGAAAATTTTATTTCACCTAATTTTACCGAACGCTTTTATAATGTAAACTCTATAAGTAATAAATTATTAGCTATAAACTCAAAAATCACTTACAAGCTATAAGCTAGTTTATATTATCAGCTGGTTTTACAAAACATAGCCTTAAATCTTTTGTAATCACACCCCAAATAAAATTCCCATCCGAAACATCCAAGCAATGTCACGAAACAAGAGTAGAAGTTTCGAAGTCATAAAACGCCGTCCAACAACTTAGTTTTGGAAAACAAGATGTGCCCAGAAATCAAAATCAAAACCAAGTCGCAACAGTCGAATAGAGAAAGCTAACAAAGTGATACTTAGAGATGGCAAACAAACTAGACGCGAGACAGAAACAAGTAGGACCGAACTTGAGAGAAAAAAAAAATGAAAAATAAAAAATCCAGTAGTATGTGTACAGTCAGAGCAGTAGTTTCAGATGCTTGACAAAACAGCAAGGGTTTTTCAGAGCTTTGCTATAAGACCAGACGAACCTGGCTTGGGTCCACCATTTTCTTTCGAGTCGTTTTCTTTTGCATCCATATCACAAGCACTGGGCGGAACATCAACGGCTGGAGAACAGTTGAAGAACCCGTGAGGCTGCACCACATCAGAAAGTAACAAATTACCATTTACAACTTGTTCACATAATATAAGAACAGGATTATAGAGTTCAGTTTTAGGTGTTTCGTAAGAGCTCCTTCTAAATTTATACGGTGTTTCGTAAAAGCTCCTTCTAAATTTATACAGCGTTTCTTCATATAACTCTCTCCTAAATGCTTGCTAATATGCTGTCAAATGAATTGAGTTGTTGCTACTGGTAAAGCAACATCAAATTATTTTGGAAACGATGATATCAAATTACCAACACCTTAGGATTTGTTCGTATACAAATAAACCAGTTAAAAACTGGTTGGTTAACTTTTCTAGTTAACCATGGTTAATTTGAAAAAGTTGGTTTGGTTAACTTTTAGAAGGATATTAAAATAATATTTAAAATAAAATGACTAAAGTTGATTTGATGCAAAAGTATGAGATATATTATGGGATGTAGGTAGTTAAAATTATGTAACTGAATTAATAGTGAATTAAAGTTGATGTGATGGGTAAGGGTGATTGATTGATATTTGTTTAATTATATTGATAATACTGAGGATAGTTGAGTTAGGTTTTGATTTGAGATTGAATTTTTCGTTGGTAAATTAATAAACAAACAAGCCCTTTTCTGAGAAAATATTCTACGAATTACACTGCACATTAATTAGGAGGAATAAAATCTAGGTAATTCATTTGTTCATTTTCTTTCACCAATGGGGTAAAAAAAAACCCCAGAGATTACAGCTTCACAAATAGAATATTAATCTAGAAAATGAAGAGGAAAACTAGGAGTAAATTTTCAAGAGATAAAGAAAATTGCTAGGTATTGTGATGAATCTTGAATAGCTTTTTAGTTGGCATGCAAGGGTACGACTTTATTAGTACACTGTGGGTATAGCTATTGGTTCAAGAATATCATTTTCAACACATACCTGAAGCACGAAGCCAATGTGTTCAACGGGCATAACAGGCCAGTCTTCCAGTCGAGGTACATGTGTAATGCCGAAAACATACCTGCACGAATAACAATAACAATTTATGTCACTGCAATAATTCGGTTTGACAGTAGATTCATAGCAGAATAATTCTCATGAATCGTAAAAGATGGTATATCGATAACGAGTATCAATCAGAAAAACTGGAAGTTCCAAACAAAATGAAAAAAAAGAAAATGTTTTGCTAGCAATTAACGAATGCAGGTCAGGTTAAAATTTTCTTGAAAGAGTCATAGAATACAAGTAAACCATATCTTTTTGCCTACTTCAAATCTAGATAGCATATCTCTTAAATGTCGGACAGCCAAAGATGCTCAACACATATTTTCCATCACCCATTGGCCAAAATATATATATAGCATGTGTTGTGTTCATATATTCAAACGGCACATGAAAAAGAACGAACTTTTTTTTTTTTCTCTGAAAAAAGGCAATTGAGAACTAACCAGAGAACAATATCAGATTCTTCCAGAGGGCGATTCTTCTTCACCCAGGAAACCAATCCTTCCCCAACACGTGGATTCTGATTTGGAAATTCTCCCCCAGGAAAATCCTCTCCACGTGCAAATTGTGTAACCCACAGATTATGCTTCAGAAATGCAGCCCTCCTTAGGAACTTAGCCTCGGGACCAGCCAATGGCAAACAATTAGAACCAGGCACCAACTTGTAGCCTGTCAACTGTCCACTCCGATTGACAGTCCTAGTGTTCCTTATCTGCAAAAAATACATGAGATGAGAAAATACTTAATCAGATGTAAAACTTCGATGAACGGGCTAAAAATTCTGCCCAGGGTGTAAATTACAAGCAAATGTGGAGAATAAACAGGGTTTTCTACCAATAAAATTGCTAGGGGAAAATACAAGAATATACGCACACTATTAAAGATAGAGATCTCAGACTTCAAATGAGCTAAACTATAAAGTATAACTGAATATGGAGGATAAGGTAATGTTGAATACTTGAAATTTAATAACCAAACAAAAACCAGAACATTAAATGGATAAGGAGGCGTACAATCCAGTGACGGGCTGATAACGGATCACAATCGCGCATGGCTTCTAATTCGGATCTAAGTAGAGTTTCCTCAGCATAGAATGCATTATTGTGAACATTGTTCTTTCCAGGTTCTTCGACTCTGACATTCACTTCAACAACCTATTATAAATATAATGGAATCATTGCAGAAGAAACAAATAAAAAAATAAAAATCAAATATTTTGTTTTAGAGTGGGAGCATCGTAATCAACATTGTTTTCATCAGGCTTAAAGTAAAAAAGAAGCACTTAATTACAAATTTATGTCCAATTACCTGATTATGCATTTCTCCAGGTTTACAGTCAACTGACATATCCATTCGAGCAACAAAAAAGTGCTGATGAACGGGGGCATAAAGTCCTGGTGCAATTGTTGTACCATACTTCCTAGATTCTCCAGGTTGCAGAGCCCCTAGACTAAGAATTCCGGTAAGTTTAACTTCTGCTTCAATTTTTCCATCCTGCAACCAACACAAGGCAATCTTAAAATGCAGGATGACAAAACCATTTCAGCTAAGCAACTCATATGGGTGCCCCTTAGCTTCCTCAGATAAACCAAAACATAAACCATCAGTTTAACTGATGGGTCCAAGAAAAGACAATAACCGCAGAAAGCAGAAAGTTTTATTACATTATTCAAATTGAAGCTTCCACTATTAAAAAAACTTAAATGTTGCAACTTAGATTGTAAAAGCCAGTCAAGGACTAAGTCATAGAGCCTATACATCTCATGGCGAATTTCCACTTGCCTGATAAAAGTGCCAATAGAATCCATATTCGTAATTTGCCACAGTGCAGATAAAAGAAACAGTGAGACGCCTTGACCTTCTGACTTCAGCGTGGCCAGTTCTCCAATCCTGATGCTTCCATAGGATTCCATAATCTTCTTCATGCAAGCATACACAATTTTCAATAGTTTCAACTCCTCCAGTGAAGTTAGTAAAATGTGCATCAAAGTATTTTATATATCCCAAACAGTCGCATCCCTGATGAGGAAAAGTGAATTTGAGTTACTCGTTTCTTCATACAAAGGGACAAAAGTGTAATAAACTGAAAATAAAAGAACTCGCAAAAGTGAACAGCCGCTACCTTCTTAAGCGAATGAGCATTCTTCCCTAGACCATCTTCCCCAGCATCAAATGCATTTTTTCTGTAGTGAGGATCATTAGGGTCCCCATATGGAACAACCATCTCCACAAAACTCAACCTATGGGCTATTGGTCTCCTACCCCGACTGCCATCAACATAGGCAACAGAATGAATGACCAAACCCTCTCTCGGGGTGAAACCGATACGAAAATTCCACTGCAAACCAATGTTTCAAATCATTCTATTAAATTTCAAGGAACAATATATATATATATATATACGGTAAGTTAGATATAAATACCTTCTGCCACTCAACATACTGTCCGTTGACTCGGAAGCTTGGACCTTCAGGCTGTATAATCTGAAGGGGTTTCACATCACTTCTATCGACCCCTCCCCTTGTCTCACCAGGAGTATAATTTCTAAGGGGATCAGCTGGAGGCAACGGGACTAGCTTACGATCTTCGAACTCTATGACCACCATATTCTGCATGTCTACAAGCACGTGAATTCCTTCAACTGGTCGCGCATAACCATTTTCCAGTGGGCAGTCACTTTCTGTCCGGCAAAATATAAGTGGTTTGGCGAGTCTACGACTAGGAGCATCAGCATCACTGTGGTAACCAACACACCTGCAGGAGTATTCAATACCAACTAGACCATCAATATTTTTTTTAGTTTTTTTTATTAAGGTTAAGTCGTGAGCACATTGTAGTCTACTCACCAAGGATCAACCATGACTAAATCCATATCATCAATACCCCTTTTCTTCATTGCCTCTATAAAAGGAGGGTAATCTTTGACAACAGCTTCACATTCAGCATATTCTGCAGCATCCTACAATTGAAACAAAAAGAGACTTAGCTATTGAAACCATGATATTTATCATTATCACAGCCACCAAAACCAGAAATATGATCCATTCTTCAAAACCACATGGAGTCATGCGTCACGCATGCTTTAGTAGCCCTTTAAAAAATAGTAAAATGCAAAAACTCAACCAACATACCGAGTTACCCAACTAGTGAACCTACATACTTAAAGGCTGTCTTCAGGGTTGGAGTATAAAATCAATTTTAGGATTTCAAAATTCAAAACGTAGTTGAACATTTTTCAATTCAAGAAGGTTCTTAAAATCCTTTTTGCATCACAGTCACTAAATAGCCAATATCACAAACAGGCTAAACCTAAGGAGCAGCTTTTGTAATCAACCTTTACATTATAGGAATATGGTCATAAATTTTCAACCCTTCTAATGCTTCAGGGGGGGTTTTTTTGCCGATAAAAGTAACTAACTCAAGCCAGTACGGAAACCAAATAAACGAGTAACAATGTTCAATAAAGCTGAGATACCATTGGAGGCTGAACATCAGGGACAACTGTAGAGGAAATGACTTTTCCTCGATGATGGCCACTTCGAGTTGTTGCATGCACTTCGGTCAACTCCACAATCCACACGCTAGTCTCATTGGACTTCTTATTGTAGACAATTAGTCTGGCACGTCTTGGTGGGAGCTTGCTAGGAATAGCAGGTCCTCCTTTAGCTCTGAGCAACAATGATGGTTGGAAAGGGGGAAAAAAATAAGCATCCGCAAGCGCCACCACATTTTTATCAGGTTCCCAAAGAACAACTTCAATAAACCTCATACTATCTCTGACCTGAAAAAGGAAAAGAAAAAAAGGGGGAGAAGTTCAGTGACGAGACTTAAAATACAAATGTCATTTCCAACCATAATACATTTATGCACATCAATCAAATTATAAGTCATCGCTCACCTCAGGAGTAGCTCCAGCTGCTCTAACAGTCCCCACAGCCACAGAGATTTCAGCAGCAGATAAAGGATCCAAAGGATGTTTAGTTTGAGCCCTTGGCATGATCTGGATCCCTGAAAAGCAAAGCATCACGTAAGAACCAAAATGAAATAAATTGCTCTTATAAATAAATCAAGTGTGGTTTAGTAAAGTTCGGTATACAATGTTTATGAATTCAGAAAACCATATGAAATTACTGAGTTTATGCATAATATATACAAATTATGAAGTGAAACGAAAACATGTAAAGTTTTCGGCTCATCTATTGTAGTAAGAGTTATTTGTCCAGGGCATATACTTCTCTTTGTTAGAAATACAGTAACTTCATAGATCAGAAATAAATTATTCTCAGGAAATATCAAAGCAGGACCTTAAAATAGTCCTTCCATATGACATGGCAGGGGCCTCCGAGACCTGCCTACAGGCACTGACCAGTCTACATCATAAAACTTCCACTATCAGTTTTAAGAGATACCACTAATATCAATTGTTTGACAGAAAAATAAATAGAATCAGTAATTTCTTTTACAAGATCATCTTTTGTCTGCAAAAGATTGTCTTATCCAAATATTTACAAGAATGGGCTGGTTCTAATGCCAAATCGGCGACAAATTGGAGAATGCCACAGGCATGATATGTTGAACTCCACGGTATAAAAAAATACAACATTGTTGCATTGACATCATCCACGAAACAGAGGACAAGAAAACAAGCAAAACAACAAGAAATATTAAGCAGACACAGCCAAAAGACTGATCAATCAGACCAATAGCTTCAGCTGGTGACCCCCACCAATATCAAGATCAAGGACAATAATCAATATTTTGATCAATGCACATCACATGCATGTACCCAAGCACAGGCACCACGAAAGCAGGGCACGCCTACATTAAAATCTAAACGACTCTGGAATATTCACACCATGAAAAACTAATTCGATAAATAGCAATGCGCAAAACAAACACTAATGTGTTTTCATGATCCTAAACCTTAAACGCCATAGGAATCACCTTTACTGGCGACATTACTCGAAAGCTCCGGTCTGATCAAGGACGCCACAGCAGCAGCAGCCTTCTTTCCAATCTGATCCTCCGCGTGGGCGGTAGTCACCTTCCAATCAGCAGCAGGGGTCGCCGACGCGGACTCGCGCCGGACTACGGCGGCCGATTCGCCGGCGGCGGCGCGAGCGCCGCCGAAATCAGCCGTCTCCGGAGCAGGAAGCGTCGCCTTTTTCTGAGTTGTGGCCATTGTAACTGGTTCGCAAGCTCACCGAATCCACCGTAATGCGTGCCGCAATCTACTGACATACAGCAAATAACCTCGGACTCCTTCACGCCGCCGCCGCCACCACCACCACCGCCACCGCCGCCACCACAATATATTATAGACACAGATTCGCCACCACAGATGAAAGCGCGAGCTAGGTTTTGGCTCCGATCAGCAATGGCTCTGTATCTATCTCTTTGTAGAGTTTAGTGCTCTGTGTGTGTTTGTGTGTGAGAGAGAGAGTTATGGGGAAAGGGGGAGATTCAGAGATGGGCAGATACACGTGATCGCGGCTTTATAAAAGTGAAATTCCCTAAATATTTTTTTGGATTTCTCTTTCCATTTTTTCCTTTAGGAAGAAAAAAAAAATAAAAATAAAAATAAAAATAAAAATAAAAATAAAAATATAAAAAATAATGATCGGAGGGCTTATAAGATAAGCGAAGAGTTCGGGTGATATGAAACGGAAATTGGACTTCGCATGATAAGGCCAACTTTTTTGAGATATTGATCTAATGTACCTTTTCTTTATTTCTCTTGCAATAATAGGCATGGGTAGAGTGAGTAAATTAGCTCTTCCTGAATCGAAGCAAATCGAATAGAGTCGAGTTAAGCCGAGGCTTGTTATTGAGCTGAGTCGAGCGATGGTTTAACTTATTGAGCCAGTAAACAAGATCAAATTCAATTCGTTTATCAAAGTTAATAAATTGGACTCAAGTCTTAACGAATCGAATCTGATCTGTAAAATGAGCTAAGGTAAATGTTTGAAAATTTGTATGAACAAGCTTGAAGGAGCCAAGCTCGAGCTCGAGCTCGGATCGATAATTATACGAGTTGTTCAACAAGTTTGAACTCAACTTGTTTATCAAACAAGTCTAGCTGAACTCGAGCCTCAATGAGCATATTGGCTCGGTTCGTTAACAACTCTATGTATGACGATGGGTATTATCTGAGTCAAGCACTTTGTATTCGAGTCCATGCTCATTTAATAAACGAGTCGGATCTGCGTGGCTCGACTCATTCAAGAAATAAAATTTTAAAAAAGATATTCGCGACAATTATCAAACACCTAACCCTTAAGGTGGCACACTATCATCATTGTATTTTATTGTTTAAGCATATAATGAGGCGCCTAGTACCTCATAAACATCATCATCAACACCAACTATATACTGCACTCAAAAAACAACACTCCCAATATAATTTTTGTTGTCGATCCATCAAGCGATCGGCAAATCGTGCGTGTTTTTTTATCTCTTGCACTTTTAATTCAATTTATGTGTTATTAGTATAAATCTACTCCCTAAATCACCCATAACACGTTCTTATTTCCTTAACTAAGGAAGTTGGCGACCAATCGTTAGCAATATCAACTTTAATTCACCATTCATCCACTCACATATTTTTAACTATTGACATTTTCAATAACATATCTCATACTTCTATATCACACCAACTTTAACCATTACATTTTAATACATTTTAAATTTAAACTCAAAATATCACTCAATTAAATTTATTTAAAATTAACTCATTTTAAATCAAAATCCAATTAAAATCGATTTTGATTTACATTCAGTCCCACTTCCAAAATCATTGACCCCTGGTTTACTAAAATAAACTAGCATGATAGTTAAAACTTAAAATAATATCCAAACTTCGTGATTCGATAATTACATGGCAATTAGTGTTATGAAAATCCATTAACCAAGTGCTACTATTCTAGAACCCTCCATAGAAGGTGACCTCTTGTGGTGGAATTATAATAAACTTGTGTACAATATGCTCATACATTTCTCCATCTTAAATTATTGAGATTAGTTGTTATTAGAATTATATTTATGTTGCTAATCAAAGCTGTGTCCTAGCCAGTACGGTGTTGATAATGGCATAGGCAGATAAGAACTTAGTCAAATACCTATAAATTAATGCCTCAAACCACGTTTAGATAACTCATATTTTGTGGGCTTGATCTTAAATTTTAATTGTACCAAGTAGCAAGTACTAACTTAGGATTGTTTTTTGTACTTTCTGGTATTTATTTTGCCCACAAAAACCAGCAAAGAGATTCCATGTGGATGTCTGTCTGATCACATAGAGTTGATTCCACTACAATAATTGAGCAATATCTTTTTCTTTTTCCCTCCAAACAAAATAGTCCCAACAATTACAGTACAAAAGGACCAATTTATCCAAATAAATAATAAAATAACAAGAATAAGGAAAAAAAATATAGCACAGATATTAAAAATTGATTGACAAAGTTGTTAAACGAAACGAGACGCTCGTGAGCTCGATTAGACTTGACTCGTTCAACCTCGTTACTACACGAAAATATAAGTTCTTATGTAATTTTATATAAGTTGACTCGCTAAATATCGAATTCTACACGTTAAAGTTCGAACTCAGTTCTTTAATATAGATAAACGAGTCAAGCTCCAGTATCAGTAGTTGGAATTGAATGTGATCGACATGATTTTGCAAGCTATTATTATTATGTGGAGCTCTGAGATTATCAATTGCGTATTCAGATCTATGCTATGGAGATTGCAATTTCTTGATTATGGATAAAATAAAACAAATTGAATAAAAATAATACATAAATGACCCTACTTGCATTGGGAGCAATGACTTATGAGTCTCATGTTTGTCCAAATGTCTGTTAAAAAATAAAAATAAGTTGAATGCTGAGTTGGACTTCAACAAGATTGGAGCAGAAAAAAAAAATGCATCTTTTTCTAGTATGACATGGTCGAGTCCTTAGCATATGATAAGTAGATGAATAATTTCATAAAATATTAATTTGCCATGCATCTAACAATATAAATAGATTAGGATATGCATAGATCAATAATAAAAAAAAAATGATCTTCCAAATTATAATTTCTACATCATTACAACTGGGTAAAAATCAACAGGTTTGGACGAAGTTCATCCATTGGGTGAGTAAATTCAAATCCAGCCCAAAATTCAAGAGTCTAACCTTGTTAAAATTTACTTTCATATTGCATAAGGAAAATATAATAAATACATAGGGAGGATTCAAATAAAAATATTTTATGTATACTATTATATATGGAAACTGGAAGGCTGTTTTAACAATAATATCTAACTAAAAATAGTATTACACATAACACACTGTTAAATGTGTTCTTATTTCTTATTTTTAAATTACATCGTAATATACATTGACAGAAACTAGGGGAAAATTGGTGCTGACCCACTACCATGAAGGACACCATGAAAGAAGGAAAAAACTCATATGAAGCCCAAATGGGGTTCCATCCCAAAACCAATTGGTGGAAGGAGGAGTAGCCCATTAGTCTTATAAGGTGGGTCTATTTTCCATATATGAACGATGTGGGACAACTCACAAGTGATATTCTAACACGCCCCCTCACTTGTGAGTCCTTCGAAAGCCCAAGCCCAACTGGGCTGGGTGCCCCAAGCCCTACTACAAACAGGCTCCCATAAACGGGTACGTGAGGGATAAACAATGATACGTCATCACACGGTCCAAGATAGAACCGACTCTGATACCATGACAGAAACTAGGGGAAAATTGGTGCTGACCCACTACCATGAAGGACACCATGAAAGAAGGAAAAAACTCATATGAAGCCCAAATGGGGTTCCATCCCAAAACCAATTGGTGGAAGGAGGAGTAGCCCATTAGTCTTATAAGGTGGGTCTATTTTCCATATATGAACGATGTGGGACAACTCACAAGTGATATTCTAACATACATAATATGAAAATTTAACTATAGAAATTTACTCCTAGTCCAAAATTAGATTCACAATAGGTCAATAATCTTATCATTGTTTGGGGACTCCACTTATAACGTATATACCATGTCAGCACGTCATAGAAGGTACAAATCCTTTACTTTGCTAAGTTGAAAAGACATCATTAGTTGAGCTTTAAATGTACATTAACCACATTACATTATATATATGCAGACCTGAAAATGACATTATAATTGTCTTTTGCTATTATAATTTTTTAGTGGTTTATTTGATTTTCTTTCTATTTTTCCATCTTGCGAGGGTCAGCTAGACAAAGGGTTGTCACTTTTATGAAGGTGGGCTATAGCCTATAGGGACAACCACCTTGATATAGATGGTGCTGATTTAAACTTTCACTGTCTTTATTGGCTATGGCTAAACAAAGTATCAAGTCTTGGCCCCTAAACATAGGCACTAAGATTTTTAATGAACAATGTTTAAAATGTATGTTTCTCTCTCATATGGGGTGATTTTAGCTAGTCACCATTGAGCAACCAAGTTATAACTATTTTCATATATACTTGTTTTTGAGGTAATTTATATACATCCCGATACTTTTTGTAAATAATTGCAATTTTACGTTTGGCAACAAAGAATTTGTATCAATACCCAACTCTTCCAAAATAGTTATACTATTACATAAAATTTGTTTTCAAATCAGAAAGTGCCTTAAAAACCGTAACTGATTAAAAGCAATCTCTCTCCTCTCTCATTTATGTGCTCCTAACAATTCTCCATTACACTATTTCCTATTCCACACATTATCTTTTATTTTTCAGTTTATTATAGGCAGTATATATTGCGTTTATATTTAGTATATATTCAGTTTTTTAATAGGAAATATATATTGTGCTTATAGTCCGTATATATTTAGGGAGTAATTATCTCATATGTGTTTATGTCAAGATTATATGACTAATAAAAATAATAATTTGTGATTGATTTTGTTTATCTCTGGTTTATGTTAACCATATAAAAATATACAACACACATATACATAAATACACATAAAATATACACTCGAGATTCTCGTAATTCAAACTAGCGACATATCGGGACACACATATACATAAAATATACTTTAAATATACACTAGAGTTTCAATCTTTTCTCAAAATCGATTTCAGAACTCACATATATATAAATATACATAATATATACACTCGAGATTCTCGGAATTCAAGTCAACGACAGATCGAGACACACATATACATAAAATATACTCTCGATGTTCAATCGTTCGAATATACATAAGACAATGATTTCTCGTACTTAATCCTTAAAATAAATGACTTCAAACACCGAGAACTGAGAATCCAGATTCACTTGTACAAGTATCAACAAACAAACATTACAAAACAGAGGATGCAGTNACAGAGGATGTAATTTTTTTTTTTTTTCCTGAAAACACAGAGTATGTAGTTGGTCAATGAAGAGTTGAATCTACAAACAACAAATCAAAGGACAATCAACTGTACTTCGTCGGGGGTTCGAAGATAGATCTCAATCTCAACTCCGGCAAACCAATTGTGGCGTGGATCGACTACGATTCCGGCACGAAATCTCGTCAACGTCACCATCTCGCCGTCGTCAACAAAACCCCTAACCCCTCTCCTCTCCTACATAATAGATCTATCTTCGATTCTACCCGCCTCTCTCTTTACCCAAACAAATTTAAAAGGGAGGAGCAGTGGGGAGGAAGAACAGCGGCGGAATGTAAAAGAAAAAGTTGATGACGATAGAGAGAGAAAGAGCGAGAGGAAGAGGAAAAATAGAGAGGGGGAAAGAGAGAAAAAAACATCGTGATAATTACAGTCCATTAAATCTGCTTTTACATATTTATCTACTGCTCAATTATCTGGTATGTTTGCAAATAAATATATATAGTTAGTAAATATATAATAAAAATGTTATTGTGCAATGGGGAGGTAATTTCCTCTTGTTTTTGTTATACATAAAATGTGCCGATTTAAGACCAACTAATTAATAAATCTCAAAAGCCCATGGGCTTAACTTGCTGGGTCGATAGCCAAATTATTCCGGAGTTATTATCGCGGCTAAGAAGTAAGAACTCGCAACACGGAAGCCCAAACATGCAATATAACCACTTAAATTTCATCCATAATTTCATAAACTAACTAATTAATAATCTATTAATTCAAATCCATCCCTATATAAATGCAGGTTTATCCAATAACTTGTAGTTACTTGTAATCCTATCTTTGATTTTTCGTACTTCGGGGTTGTTCATATAAATATAGGCTAATATTCATGTCTACTAAGAATTTTAAAATTATAAATAATATATATTTTCTCCTTATAATAAAATTTATATAATCCATCAATGATAATTAAAATATATAAAAATTACTCATCAATTGACATAATCTATCTATTAAATACATTACATAATAATAAATAATTATAATATAAAAGGGTAAGGTGAACGAGAAACAAATATAACTTTTAATATAAACAATGATATAATTTTAATAATTATTTGGAACTTAAGACAATAAAAAATATCTCTTTAAAAAAAATAGATACAATTTTTTATTAGCCCTTCTACTGGTTTTTTATATATATAACTTGAATGAATATAAGTCCTTAAAATCAAGAATAAACAAGAGGGTCATAACCAATCATTAGCACATAATTCACTACAATCACACTCATATCACTCGAACATGTAATGTAGGGTGCCAATGTCAAAGCACAACCCAACCCAAACACAACATTACAATCAGAAAACAATTATAGAAACAAACGACACGGTTAACACGCAAAACACAACATGTTCAAAAATGCAATCATAGTTATGATCAAATAAAAATAAATATTTAGGATCATAGTTATGATCAAATAAAATAGATAACACAAAAGAAATGATAACAAAAATGCAAACCATGACATGATACTTGACATGATACTTGACAGCACAATTGCCACCTCAACAACTCCCAAGCATGTTCAAATCCCACCAATACAATAACACAACATCACAAATTACATAGCTCAAAGGGCAACTTCCCATTGAAACAAGCTGTAATGCTAGGCAAAGAAGGTCATTTGGGGAAGACCACTGAACAACTAGACTAGGATGAGATGCATATGGAACACCATAATAGCAATAGGTCGTTAGAGGGTGAAGTGCATCTAAATGATGCTTTACCTATCCACTTTTACTAAAGATCAAGCTAAGCAAGAACCCTACAATAAGGTACAAAATTCCAGCTATCCAAGAACAATCACGAAATGAAATGAAATCCATCAACAAAAGGGAAAAGAACACCACAACTATCCTCACGATTCTCTCTTACATCAACTACTCACATTCATTACAAAACCCATGAGATGATAATAAAAATCCAAAATTCAGTAAGAACGTGTTTACGAAATAAGCATACTCCACATCAGAGCACATACCAACAGCAAACTGTGCAAATTAGTTCTAATTAGTTGCAAGTACACATCACACAAGAGCATGTGTACAAAATCTAATAAACCAACCTAAACACACACCATAAAAAACTACAAATTTCCAGCTACCAAAGAACAATCACGGACCTAAACATAATCCATCAGCAAGAGAAAAAACAATACAGTTCCTCTCATGGTTATCTCTTACATCAATCACTCACATTCATTCTAAAACCCATGAAGCATTACGGAAATAAGCAGACTCCTGAACTAATATATGCCTACAGTAGCAGCCAGCCACGCAAATTAGTCCTAATCAGTTGAACATGCATACAAATTCTAATAAGAGCAAGCTAACATAAACCCTATAAGAACTACAAAACACCAGATACCGAAGAACAATCACAGACCTAAGAACACATTTACTCTCAAGATTATCAGTTGCAGGTAAGCAATCACATCACACGAACAATGCATACAAAATCTAACTCAAACAACACAGCAATCACATCGCCTGAAACCAAAAACACATCCATTGTCATTCAAAACATTTATATAAAATTATCTAAAGAGTATATCAGGAAACCAGATCCAATAACATAACAACCGCACAAATTCGAAAAATCAAAACGAACAATTAAACAAAAATTGAACCTAATCAAGCGGTGAGCACAACAGCACCGCCGGCCTCCTTGATCTTCTTCTCAGCATTCTTCGACACGAGCTTCGCCTTCACGACCACCGGTTTATCCGCCGGCAGCAGACCCTTACCGAGAACCTTGAAGTAGCCGAACTGGGTCACGTCAACCAACGGTACGTTGTCCTTGGAAGCCTTGTCCTTCACCTCCTGCGGCACCATGGACCAGATCCTATCAACGTTGACTGTCGGGCAGTGGAACTTGTTCCTCAGCCTATGGAAGTAGCGCATGCCGACCTTCCCAAAGTAGCCGGGATGGTACTTGTCGAAGAGGATCCGGTGGTGGTGCATGCCTCCGGCGTTACCGCGGCCACCGGGATGCTTGCGGTGCTTGCCGATGCGGCCGTGTCCGGCGCTGACGTGGCCGCGCTTCTTGCGGTTCTTCTTGAATCGGGTCGTCATCGGAAAGTTGAGGGGGATTGAGTGATGAGGAAAGAGGCGCCGCTGAGGAGGGAAATGAGGGTTAGGGTTTTGGTGGCTTTATATAGGTGTGAGTGTTGGGGAAAGAGAAGAAAATGGGTTGTTTTACTGTATTGCCCTTGATAGGTACGCGAAATTACAAAACATGAATTTTATCACGGTAGGCTAGAGATGTTAAACAGGCTAGTTCAAGCGGGCTTCGGGCTAAACGGTCCAGCCCTAAAAAGCCCGGATTTAAACGGGTTATCAATAAAAGGACCTAACCGTAAACCTAGCGGGCTTCGGGTTAAACAGGCTATACGGGCTATAATAATAATAATAATTACAATACATAGTTAACAGTTTTTTCAACGACTATTTAATATTTACCACTATAAATATATAACTACACTTCATATATGAACACACATTACAAACTCTTAAATAACATATTGTTTCTCAATAGAAAAAAAAAATGTTTGAACTATTACTTATAACTACCATTTGACTAGTTATTTGGTACGCCGAATTTATATTCTATCACTATATTCTATGTATTAGGTCTTTGTTTCATTTGTTTTTTAGTAGCCGTTCTGATTGGCTTAAATATTTTGCTGTAAAATATAATAAAATTTGTTAATACTTATATATCAAAATAATAATAATGCATTATAACTCATAATTACATGTGAAGTAGAATAGCAAAATTAATATACAAGGAATCATGAGACATACTTTCTAAAAATATATACACCACCAAACTCAAGTTAAACGGGCTAGCCCTAACGGTTTTAGGGCTAGCCCTAGCGGACTTCGAGTTAAACGGTCCGGGCTCAAAAAACTCGAATTTAAATGGACTGCCAATAAAAGGCCCTAACCCTATTTTTTTCCGGGCGAAACGGGCCGGCCCGTCGGGCCAAGGACCATTTAACATCTAGGCTCCAAAGATTAAAGTTTGTAAAATATTAAAATCTAGCTAAAAGATAACTAACAAGTTATAATTTATATAGTGTGTGTTTGATAAGTATTAATCTATCTTATTATTTATTTAATTGGTTTATAAGTTCTTTTTAATCAAATAAGTGGATTTGTAAGAGATATTTTAAAAAAAGCTGGAGTTTCTAATAACATTCACGAGTCACTACGTCGGTTTAAAATCAACTAGTTTAGCAGCAATCAACTATAAACTAATTTATTATATAATTTTTATGTTTACCAATAGAAGTTAGTTAAATAAAACTAATTTATTATATAATTTTTGCTTACCAATAGAGGTTAGTTAAATAAGGTATACACTAGCTTAAGGCATTTATCACAATTCGCATGTGATGGAAGTGTTCTCTACTCAATTCCAATTGCATTTTTACTTTATTCTTTACCCTTCATTTACATAATTTCATATAATTTTTAAGTTAAAAATCAATTATTAATGCACATTAATCTATAAAATCTATTATATATTATTGATAATAACCAATAATGTTCTACTAATATTCTATTAGATTATTATTAATAATATTATTTTATATAATCAACAAATGAAATAAGAAATGTATTTAAATTAATGGATATCTGCACCTCATCCACGGAAGACTTCGTTTTGATTTTTAAGGCAGAGAGATTTCAATATGCAATAATTCCGAGTTGGCTATCTCAAAAATTAAAAAAACAATTATAGGCTCTACTTGATTGCTGCCCATACAACCTCTGATAATAGGCCACAACCTATTCAGTAAGCCCAACCCACTAACTAATCTGAAGGGTTTGATTTGCTTGAAAAACATACACACTCAAGGAAGTGCCTTTCAGTATTTGGGCCAACTTGTGAAGACAGAGTCTTCATCTTTTTGCCATCGTTAAAAATCACAGTAACATCACAAGACTTTGGTGCATACTTCTGAACATATTCTCCTTTTCCCAGTCCCTTCCTTGATAGCCTACAATAGAAAACAAAAATAAAGACAACATTAAATATACTACAAAAAAATGATACCATCATATAACATTTTTTCGATTAGTCAGCCTAACAGCAGAATTTGTGTAAACCCATTACATCATTTTGGAAATTGATGCTTCCAACATTCCTAATTTTCGATAAGTCGCGTTATAATTGGATCCCGACTACAACTACATGATGTAATATTTCGTTCGACGTTGAAATCAAAGACCTTATCGCTTTTCGGTTACATAGTCTAACAGCAGAATTGTGTAAACCCATATGAAGCAGTTTGAATATTGATGCTTAAACATTCCTAATTGTCGATGAGCCACATTATATTTGGACCCCGACTAGACTAGACTACAGTTGTGTTTGGTAAGCATATAAGCTAACTTATACCTTATTTGATTAGTTTATAAGCTTCTTGTATTCAAATAAGCTTGGTTTGGTATGACGGACTTTTTTAAAAACCTCGAACTTATCTCATAAGCTTCCTTTTGTAGATTTTCAAATAAGCCATTGAATTTTTTATTTCAACTAGCTTATCAACAAATTTGACTAAACAATTTTATCATATAAGCTAGTTATATTAGCTATTTTTTCAAATATAAGTCATAAGTTATCAGCTCACTTCAAAGCTATAAGCTAGCTTATCAGCTAAGTTTACTAAATATAGCCTCCACCATCTACATTCGGGTCGACATGGAAATCATAATAAGCTTTGGCCATTTACGGTTTTCAACACAACAACGAATCATCCTAATCACTAAAAACGACACGCGGCTAGACATGTTAGTTGACAATGTGTACATTTTTTTTTTTTTTAAAAAAAAAAAGGAATTACCTCGACAAGGGAGATTGCTTAGTCCCCATGACAAGTTTGGTTATATTAGCAATGGTAATGAGTTCCAAGATGGCCTTGGTCGATGCATTGCTCTCTACAAGCATTGTGTCCACAGCTACCTACACTACACAAAAATCCCCAAAAAAATGAAAGGGAAAAGAAAAAAACATTAAAATTTCACCTTTTTTTTTTTTCAGAAAATGGCCGCTTGCTTCATTTTTACATATGTTTTAAGTTGCAAATATACCTTGGACTCATTACAGAGCTGGATGTACTTTTCTAACATGTGTTTCCTCTTGTTGCTCTCTTCCCTTATGTAATATTGCGCCTGTTCTTTGCTCAGCTGGCTTCTCGACAGCTTCCCGACTAGGAGAATTTCGACAGATTAACAGAAGTTACGATTTCAAGAAAACATGAAAAATGTGCACAGAAAAAACACGAACCTGGCGTGGATATGTATGTGATTTGTGGAAAAACGTGCACGAGAAAAAGTCGGCTGCCGGGGGTCAAAGCATGGTCAAGAGCCCATTTGACTACGTGCAAGTCATTTTTTCCCACGGCCACGTAAACATCTGTTCCCCCTCCAGCCGTGCCCTCGGTTTCCTCTTTGATCTCAACTATCTCGGGTGATGATGCTGCGAATTTACGGTTCTGCCCTTCAGGCACGGCTGCCGAAATCTCGCCTTCCATGTGACAGTGTATGCTATCCCTCTAAACAATGAGATTCAGACACAGAGAAGAGCACAAGGAACATATCAGCCACAGAATGTGTGGAAAGGTGGAAGTTGCTTTCATGAAATAAATTATTAAGTGGAAATTTTGAAGTTAAAAAGAAAAAGGGGAAATGAAAAGTAGGAGAGCATATGTGGGCTTTTTGGACATGTCACAAACCTGTGATGGTCCTTCATCACTCATTACTCACCAGCCACTTATTGAGAGGTTTTCTGATTGATAATCCTGAATTGACACAAGCAATTAAGTCAAAAAAAGATCACTAGTGTAGTGGTGAATGGTGATCAAAGGATCAAAATCAACTTTTTATTCAAACTTACTGTTGCTGATCTGATGTGGAACATGTAAACGATGAGTCTTGGAATCGCTGTTATAATATATTCCCGGTCCACAATTCCACCGTTTGCAACTCATTTTAGCCTTTTTCATAATTTTCATTATTTACAGTCTTATTTCATTATTTATTTCCTATTTTGTTTAAGATTCAGGGTCTTATATACACATCTAAGACATTGTTTTGACAGTATTCGAGATTTGATATTCAGTTTTAGAATACAACTTTCTTTCATCAGAAGCACATCTGTCTTCTACATTTATTGTCTCGTGTTATGATCATTGACCAAGTCCGATTATACAGAGATCAACATCACACGGGTTGAAGGTCAAATTTAGCTAAACGGACTAATTTCGATCAGTCATACTGTTTGAATAAATTGATAATTTTTATCTTGAAAGCCTGAAGAAAGCATGGTCACTGATGTACTATTTCTTCATGACCCCTGCCTAGTTTAACCTTGGAAAGCAGTTTTCATGCACTTTTTCTTCTTTATCTTTGTTTTGTTTTAACCTTTTCTAATGTAGTTGGCTCCTAGCAATAATCTACAATGACTTTTTTCTTTCAATTTGTAGAAAAAAGTGGTCTAAAAAGCCTGAAAACTTTAGGTCTATTCAGACAATTCAAGATCACATCTTGTATAAATCCTTATCCAAATTCTTGTGTCTTTCCATTGATGAAAGTTCAAAGCTTAAAAGTTTCCTTCCTTTTTTTTCACAAGGAATACAAAAAAAGAATAAAAAAAAAATGAACAAAGATCAGTAGTCATGGATTTAGTAAAAGTGGCTGGTGGGATAGTGCACCAAAACCCACTATACACTGTGGGGTCAATTATCTCAACCTATGCTAATTCAAGCTCATGATCATATATATCTAAAGTTGCACACAACAGAAAACACAAATTAGAAGTTAAAAATTAAAAATATTAACAAAATAAATAACAACTTATCATCACTGCTTATGTCATATTGTGCAGCAATAGTGCACTCATTATCTAGCATCTCAACTCTCATGAGGCCTCAATTCCAAATTAACATAATTTCACTGATGAAACTAACGGAAATCATGATACAAAGCATATAAATCCCATCACACTTGGTGGCTTTTTAAGAATTTTTGTGAAACTATTTGAAACTGAATAACAATAAGACCTCTGCACAATGGTGGGTATATGCTTAATCAAGTGAATTTGTTGCAACTTGGATTTCTTACATGAGCACTATATAAAGATATGATTAATCAAGTGAATTTGTTGCAACTTGGATTTCTTACATGAGCACTACATAAAGACACCTTTTTTTTCTCAGTATATATGCAGACTTGAAAGCAGCCTTTCTGGAA